TGCTATGGTGTCATATGGTACAAAGTGGCGTAATAATTAGTGTTGGGTGGTGCTTGGTTGGGTACAGTGGGTGTAATAGGGTGGTGTGATGCATTGTAGTGTGCTGTGCTGTGCCGTGTCGTGCTATGGTGCAAAGTAGTGTGTGTTGGGTGGTGCTTGGTTGGGTTGTAGTGGGTGCAATAAGGCTCCCGTCCTTGATTCAATAACGTACCTCCAGTACACTAATCAGCCTATCATAGTTAGCTAATCGATATATCCGTGACGAAGAATGGTGTGAAAGACTAGATGAGTCCAAAAAGTCACCAAACATGATTGGCTCATTCTGGAGAACGTCAGGAGACCAAGTCAACCTGAATGTCTCATGCAGAGTTTCTGACATAATATCGAAGAAGTAACTCCGATCCACGTCATCGACTAGACGATCATGAAATACGCGCATGCTCTCATGTATAACCAGTTGTGCACAATGTTCGCTGAGGGAGATGACGGCAGGATGAGCTTGTAACATTCCTTCAATGACCTGGAAACGAAAATTATGATAACAAAGGCTAATGTCAAACGCAGAGCTTCACATGAGCCGAACCTAATTACATCAAAAAAGACCGCCTTGTCATCCATAGCTTCAATTAGGTTCGGCTCATGTAAAGTTCGACGTTTGACCCTGGTTTGACCTGAACCTAAGGACGCTTATTCTGCACGATTTTACAATCATACGAGGGACGTGTTATAATTAGGATTTCCCATTTGGAGGGGTAAGGAGGTGGGCTTCTCGCCGTTGAACTAAACGGCAATAATCTCTCCCTCCCCGCCCCATGAAAAAAAACAACGAACTTAAAAATTAATCTGACAATGCGTAAAGGGTTATAGACACCACAGGAACCCCATGCACCATACCTTGCTTAGGTCTCGCAGGTTAAAGGTATAATGTGTCTTTGCAGGTGTAGGTAGCAGACCAGTGCTCAGCTTGAAGTACAAAGACATAGCAGTGGTGACTATATTATCACATGACTCCCGAACCTCGGTTGTAAAGTCCACCTTCTCCAGGTAGCGCCCTAGTTGGGTACCATAGATATGTCGAAGCCACTTGGTAGATGGTGATGACAGACTCAAGATACTAGTAAAAAGACAAGAACAAATGACTGAGTGTTTTTTCTTCACTATCAAAAATCAGCGAATTGCTTTTTCCTTTTTTAAAAGATGAGAGATATGTAATAGGACCTATCAAACATGCATTGCATCATTTATATTCGTTTATATTTTATATTCGCCTATTAGTATATGTAATAGGAATCCATGCTGTCCAATTAAGAAATAATTGGACGAGGAAAATTCTAAGGACTGACAAAATTGGATGAGGCCGTAGGCCGAGTCCAAATTGGCAGTCAGAGGAATTTTTGGAGTCTAATTATTTCTTGATTGGGGAGCATGAAATCCCATTACCTATYAATTATATGGCTGCCTAATTAATCCCATATCAACAAGACCTGTCCAATTAAGAAAATAATTGGACAGTTACCTGTATGGGATTAATGAGAAGCTGTATAACTAGACACGTAACAGAGCAGAAATACTAATTTGCTGCGCGCGTAGTGGTAATACGAGCAACCTTTCCGTTTTTTAAAGGTGCGCTGCAAGTTACAGAGCAAATGTTGCTCGTATTACCACTACGCTCGCAACAAATTAGCATTTTTGCGCGAAGAAGAAACTCTCTCTATTCTGGTTTTAACTAGTCAAGCAAGCACAAGCTCAAGGAAAAGAAAACTTTGATCCTTATGGTTGTGGTTGAATTGGACCTAAATGGACTACTTCAACGATATGGCAGACATCTTGGTTCGCAAGACATTATGAGGCGTCCAGGAGGCAAATAAAGCTTTGTTACAGTAATGACGTCGATTGATATTAATGGCTCACCACAAGAGAGTACAAAGAAAAGAGATGCATTAAAACGGCACGTCGATCACCTTTACCCATAAAAGAAAGACAAACACATTTTCCTTCATCTTTGTTTTGCTATGCCCCCTGGCAAGATGGCCGCTCTTCCATCGAAATAGTCCATGGAGCCTCGCTGTGGTATGATATTCCCACGTTCTGATATAAGAAATACCGAATTCAATTTGATCCTTACCTGAAGTGTCTGAGGAGACGGCCATTGAGTGCGCTTCTTCCACCGCCTGGCGGAGAACAAGCAGCCATTAACGTCACATCAAACACCTCCTTCCATTCTAACTTCTTGGTGTCATGGAATCCCCCGGAATCAAGAAACTGTCGTACCAGTTCCAGGGGGGGTTGAGCGTTGAACTTGTCTGGTTGAGGCATGTTTAGATCATCTACGAATATTATTGCCTTGGAAGTGAAGAAAATTGTTTTAACAATTGGCAAATGTATCCCTTTCTATAAGAGTATAGGCCGTTTGCATGATGGCGTCCTTTTACTACGGTGCTAATTAACTGAACACAGAAAGTGCGYAAGTGTGCTACATAAATAATAAATTATTTTAATATAATTTTAGACTTGAATATGGATTTTCTCGAGCTGTRATTGGTCAAGCGACCAGTGATTCTGAGACGATAATCACTGCTCGAGCGGTGATTACGAGGTTTTCCAAAGCTTGCCAGAAGGAGTAATACCAAAACGTTTTTATCCTGAATTTAATCTGAAAGAGGTACCCTGTTTATGACATAAAAACTCAAATTTGTAGACCCTGTTTATGACAAATGATATAATTCATTGCACTGAGTTCCTGTTTCAATTATCATGTCATCTCAATGACAAAAGATATAATTTATTGCACTGAGTTCCTGTTTCAATTATCATGTCATCTCGCGTATCTTTTTTTTTTTACGACCATAATAACCAGTTTCGGTCAATACGAAAGTAGAAACCCTGAATATGACAGGAAACTCAGAAAGAATTTGTCACTTGAGTGAAATTGCATACTCTGTTTATGACAAGAAGCTCCAAAAACCATACCCTGTTCAGCGGATCGTCCCCGTATAGTCCATATATGGAAGTACATCCCCCCCCCCCGGGATTTTACCTCGCGGCACGACAATTATTCTCCGGTAATCACTTCGCCTTAGTACGGCGAATAATTGTTAAATATTCATTAATAGTACCTTTTGTCCAGGTATAGGGCCAAGGGCTTCTCTACCACGTTTAACAAGCTTAGATTCAAYGAACTCCCTCACTCTAGCAGCAGTAGTTCTAGAAGAGAACTGAATCATCTCGTGACTCAAATCAGACTTGAATTCATGTTTATCAATCACGGATCCTTCCAGGATGCTTTCCACTAAATTCTTTCCTCCTGAACGAAACACCGCTCCGAGAATCGACCCTGCTTCTGTGGAGGTACCACCATCTTTGGATAGACGCGCAAGGGTATCGAGAATGAGTACCGTCTTACCGACCCCTACATCTCCTGTTAGGAGTACGGGTTGCTTGTTGACAGACATTAGGGCCAAGAGAAAGGCATAGCGTATGGTATCGAGTGTAGGTACTAGAGATAGGTCGATCTCGGCTTCTGTTTTCGATGTGGCTGATTCTTCTAGAATATGGGTGTGGTCGGAATGCGCAAACTGTTCTGAGATAGATTTGGCGATAAGAGCACGAGACGGAGGAACCAGAACATCCCATTTGGCAAAGTTTCCTACTTCTAGGTCGATATAGTAGTTAAAGACGGTATCACTTCCCGTGGGTAAGGCAACATGGGGTGCTGTTTCTCCTGTGCCTGAAAACAGCTCTCTAACAAACAAATCAAACTTTTTACGGACTGATTCTGAATCTCTTGCGTGCAGTGAAGCTCCAGGAATATGAGAGTGGTCGTCGTCTTCATCCTCTTCTTCAGCCTGCAGTAGCCCACCGTATGCCCAGGTATACGCAAACACGTAGACTTTACCAAAGAAGTCCACCGTGTGGTGAGGATTGCGCTGAATACAGGAGATTCTTCGCGTTCGTAATTCGCGCTCAAAATCATCAGCAAACGTGACAGTCTTTTCTTGGTTGTCTTCAGTCTGTGCTTCAGTTTTTGCGGTTTTTTCTGGGTTGATCCCAAAACCACCATGAATTTCAATCATGTCGATAAAGCCTCCAATGATTCCACACATTGTAGATACCACGCTGAGGGCTGGTGCGGGGATGCGTTGGTGATGGGAATGCTCGGTTAAGAAACGTAGACCGGCATCGGTGCTGTGCTCGAACAAGGCCAACAGATGATCGGTCACTGTTGTAGGGACCTATAAAAACAACACCAAGATTTACGTCAAAACAGCAAGTATGGCTTGGTTGGAAATAAAGAAAAGCAAAGAAAAGTCGAAACTCGAAGGCTTGGACCTCTGGCTCTGACCGTGGACCTCTGTCACTAACCAACTGAGCTACGCTTGCAACTAATTATATTACTGAGTGACTCGGATAACCAATTGAAGAGGTGATATTGCAGAAGTGTTTATTGCATGCATAAGAACGCTAATCGTGTAGTAAATGTAGTTGTGAGACGGACAAGATACCTTGTGTCCCTCTCCAAGAGAATGTATCCATGTTTTAACATAAGGTAACCAGCCAAGGTCATTAGGATCCTGTAAAACAAAGATATGAAAAATACATAAAGCACAGCATTTCGTCCCAGCGTCATACTTCTGTTCCTATACACACAATAGTGCCTATAATACTGTATGTCTACTAACTACCATAT